GCCGCCGCCGCCGCCGCCACCACCGCTGCCACTGGCGCCAAGGCTGATCAGCATCATCAGCAGCAGCAGGCGACGGGACCGAAGCCCCACCCCAAGGCCCCACGTGCCCCCCCTGTGGCCATCGGCGATCGCTTGATGTTCAGTATTGACCACGCTGTGTCCGACGAAGAGATCAAGGCGGCCTTTGGACCACTGGCAGCGCACATCGTCTCACTCCGCAACAACTCGACCAATGGCCACGTCTTTATTGACTTTTCCGAGAAAGAGAAGGTGTATGATGCCCTCAAGGCCAACCCACCGACAGTCGGAGCTCGCAAGACTCCCGTGAATGTCTACCGTCAGAGAACACGTCAGTAGAGTTTCCACGGATGAAGAATGCGTCCATCTGCTGACCTATCCATTGCTTTCTGTCCGTCTGAATGTGTGCATATGTCTATAATCGTGTGTGCGTGTGTGTGAGGCTTTCTTTTTCTTCCAATCACCAGAGGGGAAGAGAAACTGCAGGCTCTGTGCGTGGGGAGAAAAAGGCTAAGAAACAAAAAAGAGGAAGGAGGAAATACAATTCTAGGTGATATGGCAATTGGTAGCCATACGACCCTATCTTAAAACATTTTTTGAAAGACCTCCCAGAGCTCTCGTTGTGACCCTACAGGGTAGTAACGCAATACAAGAGCAGTAAAAAAGAAGCCACAGCACAAGAACAAGGAGATGCACATACGGTGGGAGGGGTGTGTGGCGGAGCAGGAAGGGCAGTGAGAGCCAGGAAGAGAAGGGGAGGGAGCGATGAAGACGCGATAACTTTTAGAAGCGGGGCATCAGTCTAATGGGGAAGGATATGTGGCTGGAAGGCGCCGATAAATCAAAGAAGAGGAAAACAGGAAAACGACGAAAGAAAGAATGAAGACAAGGACGGCGGTCAAAGAAGAAAGAAATGCAATACCCAACTCACTCTCCCCTTCGTTCCGTTATTTTCGTAAATTTGTAACCGTAAGGACGTCATAACTCTTCTGCTTAACGCAGGCACAGACTGAACGAAGGAAAAAAAAAAATCAAGCAAAACAAAGGGCGAAATCAAAGTGTTCTGTTTTTTCTTTTTGTGCTCGCTCTCTGGATATATTTATATCTGTGATCCCGGGGCGGTGCGAGTTGTTGCGGGGAAGTCTCCCACCACTGTTGTTTCCCTTTTTGACAGCAGGCCGCACGCTCTATTGCCTCTCACCTGCCTTTTTTTTCCAAAAGAAGAGAGTGGTGACAGACAAGTCAGAAGCACAAGAGTAACAACAACAACAACAACAGCAGCAGCAATGTCCACGTTGCCAGACAAGGTCGTCTTGCGCGTCCCGGCGACGACGGCAAATTTGGGCCCGGCGTACGACGTCCTTGGCATGGCGCTCTCCATCTTCATGGAGGTGACGGTGGAGCGCGCGGAGGTCTTCTCGATGCACCTCGAGGGCGAGGGCAGTGAGGAAATTCGTGCCGACGAGGAGAATATGCTCGTCCAGACGTGCCGTCTCGCCTTCACGGAGTACGCGCACAAAGAGATGCCGCCGCTCAAGTTCACAATGAAGAGCAATATTCCGTTTGGTTGCGGCTGCGGCTCGTCCTCCGCCGCCGCCGTGGCGGGCTTCGTGGCGGGGATGAAGCTGTGTGGGCTCACGATGGAGACAGAGCAGCAGGAGGAGCTCCTGCAGGTGATTGCAAAATTTGAGGGACACCCCGACAACGCGGCCCCCGCACTCTACGGCGGTATTCAGCTCGGATACAAGAACGAGAGCGGGCGCTTCCTCACATACCGTGTACCCACGCCACCGTCACTCTACGTCGTACTGTTTGTTCCAAAGAACAAGATGAAGGCGAACACACATGCAACCCGTGGCTTAATTCCCAGCACAGTTCCATTGGAGGACACTGTGTACAATGTATCTCGTGCGTCCATCCTTATGCTGGCACTCTCCACCGGTGAGCTTCGCTTGCTTAAATCTGTTGGTGATAGATTGCACCAGAATCAACGAGCTGCTGCTCTGTTCCCTCATTTTTCCCCATGCGTTGATGCTGCTATGGCTGCTGGCGCACATTACGCTTTCCTATCGGGCGCCGGACCAACAGTCTGTGCCTTTGTCGGCGGCCGCTGTGGTGACCCTCTTATCCAGCCAGCGAAGGAACGCCACGCCGAGTCGGTTGCCGACGCTATGCTGGAAGCCGCGAAGGCTGCAGGTGTACCTGGCCGCGCTTTGATTACGTCTCCGTCAGATCAGGGCGTCCACTTCGTTGGTGTGAAATCCATCCGAAATGATTTGGAGTATGTCTCGATTTAAATTGCCAATGTCGCAACAGAAGGGAGAGCAACGAGACTTTTTTTTGTGCATTTTATGTGGGTTTGATTTAATAGATCGATTACAACGAATTGACAGCTCTTTTTTTTCGCTCTCATTCATGTTCTGCGATGGGCCAATAGCTCTTGGCAGGTCGAGGCCAACAGAGCATGGGCAAGAACACGTCATTCACTTTTTTGCCTTCGAAGAACTGAGAAAGAGAAGAGTAGAATGACACGTATCGTGATGCGGCAGGTGAGCCCCCGCAAGGGTTGTCGCGTTGTAATCCCCGTGGAGCATGCACATCAACATCATCAGCAACAACAACAAGGCACGTACACAAAAACATTGAAGAAGAGGATGAAATCGCTGGAGCAGCAGTTGGAGTTGATGTCGCGAGAGCGGGAGGGCCAGCTGGACCAACTCGAGGAGATGCAGCGAATGGCTGAGGCTGCACAGATGGAAGCTGTACAGCTAAAGGCTTGTCTTTGCATAAAAGTTGCCGAGTGTGAAAAATTGACGCGGGAGGCTCGCAAGGAGGCCATTCGACTGGTGAAGAGCGAGTGGCGCAGCAAACTGGATGATCTGGCCAGCGGCAACGTCACGCTTTTTAGTGAGATCCAATTGCGGGACAAGCAAATCGCCGAGCTGCAGAAGGGTCTCCGTGCCGCACAGAATGGTGATGATAGGGATGGGAAGTTCCTCGACAAAATCACACTATTGACGGCGGAGGTTCTGCGTCACGAGAAACTACTAGGCGAGAAGGACGCTGCACTCTACAGCTATGAAGCACGCTTGGAGAACGCAGAAAAGGCACTTCACACTGCATTGGAGACACAGTGTAAAATGGAGTCGCATGTCAATGAGACTCTGAAGGTGAAAGAGGAGCAGCAGCGAGAACTGGTGATGATGGCCGCTCAAAACCAGCGATTGGAGAGTTCCCTGGGGGATAGCGTCTCGCCCAGGTATGCCGCGGGCAACGCCTCGGGGCAAGCTCACGAGGCGTCTCTTACAAACAGCAAAAAACAAAGAAAAGCACGTCTGCAGAGCTACCAAACAGAAGAGTGTCGGCATCTGATGGATTTTTTCCTCGCACGCCTTACTGCCAGTGAAGAGCAGCGAAAGAGGAGCGAGAGACTTGCCGCGTGGATGGCGTTTGCGCTGTGGCGGAAGACTTCCCAACTGTCGGCGAAGGGGCAGCAGCTTCTGTCCAGCGAGACCACCGTAAGCATCCTGGGACAGGCCCTGGAAAGGGGAAAAGCCTCTGTTCAGTGGACGCAAGAAGTTATTGCAGAGACACACGAGCGGCGGTTGGCCGCAGAAACAGCCTTGGAGGCTCAGCGGAGGCAACACGAGAGGCAACAGAAGGTATGGGATAAGCGGGAATCCGAAATGTCTGCAACAATTACAACGCTCAAGGAACAGTTGCACACTACTCGTGAAAAATTGGCAGAAGAGCAGCTGCTGTACCAAAAGCATCCACCGCAGTCTATGTTGCAGCCCTCTTTGACGATGGAAGAGTCGAACCGCTCTACGGTAATGACAATGGAAACACATATTCCTCCAACTCGGCGCAACACCGCGCGCGAGTCATCGTTGCATGACGACAATGCCGCTGCGAGCGATGCGGGCAAAGTGGGGACAGCGGATGACAGAATGACGAGCGAAGCAGCCATGTCGGATGCCATGGAGAGCCTCGCTGTGGTACAGGATGCCTCTGAGGCGGGTGCTATTATTGCAACACTGCTCTCACTGCATCGCCAGGCGGTAGGAGAGTGGCGCAACAGGGCAATCGCTTCGGAGCGGCGCGCTGGGAAGGCGGACAGGATTGCGTTCAGTCTCTCGGTGCTGATACACCAAGGTGTTCTTCCTCATCTGCATGCACTGATCGTGATGTGCACCGACGGTGTGGCGGAGAAGACTAAAAGTGTCCTCGCGGACTACTCCCGCTTGGTGAGGAGCACAACGTCGGGCGACGCTGCTGCTGCAGACGCCAGGACTGAGGCTGCAGGTGAAGTGGATGTTTCAGAAAGCCAGTTGGTTCTCATGTGGAAGTCGTGGTGTAAATGGCGCGTCTTTGTTGAGGCAGCTCGCGTTGCTGCACTAAAAATGAGGGCAACGCGAACAATATCTTCCATGGCAAAGAGCCACGAGCAGTTGAAGGTCATTGCTGAGCGTGCGATGGCACGGGTAAAGGAGCTGGAGAAGTTGCGCGAGGAGCCCACAGGTGGGCTGAGTGGATGAATCGCCATGCAGACGGCATAATTCCACCACCGTCATTGCGCTAGAGTGTTGTCAAGAATCCTGTCTTTTTTTTTCTTTCAAGTTGTGGCGTGCATTTATCGATCCTAGTTATATTCTTCTATCAATTCCTTTCTAACATACTGCAGCGTGCTGATAAAAGCGAGGAGTAGACAATAACGGTGGAAGCAACGAAAGAAAACACTTTTGTTTATTCTTTGTGCTTTATCTTCTTGCTTCCTGGCATTTCTGTTTTGGCGCATTTTCTTGTGAAGTGTTTTTTTTTTGGTTTGTGGTCCTTCCGCGTGCTGCCAGCGATGGGAGAAGACGACGGCGGGTGCCCCGTTCCTGCCACACAGCGGCGCCAGAAGAAGGTGTGGTCGGAGGAGGAGAAGCGCGCCTACTGGCAGAAGAAGAAAGCGGAGAGGAAGTGGCGCGGCAAGGCAGCCGCCGTGGAACGGCGTGAGCAGCAGCAGAAGGAGTGGGCAGAGCTCAGCGAAGAAGAGCGTGAGCGCCGGCGCGCGGAGGCTATCGTTGTGCACGAGCGCCGGCGTGCCGCGGAGGGGCGGAAGCACGCCCAGTGTCTGCAGCACCTGGCTGACGCGTCCCTCCCCGTGCTGGTGTTCGACCTCAGCTTTGCGGGGTGCATGACAGCCGCGGATTGCCGCAGCACTGTATCGCAGGTGAAGTTTAGCTACAGTGCGCTCCGGAGCCACACGTTTCCACTGCGTCCTGTCATCACGTCCGTTGGCGGCCAAGAGGAGGCGGGCGCGAGCGTGCACGGCGAGCTGCTTCAGGATTTGCGGGATTTTGAGGGCTTTCGCCGCTACCCGCTGCCCATCCAAGAGGAGCACTGGTCGACGCTCTACGCGAAGGAGCGTGTCGTGTTTCTCACTGCAGACGCTGAGAACGTGCTGGACCGGCTGGTACCTGAGAATGTGTACATTGTAGGTGCATTTGTGGACCACAATGCACGGAAGTTCCTCACGAGGGATGCGGCAGTGCGGCACGGGGTACGGATGGCCCGACTGCCACTTGAGGAATCCATCGAGGTGGGCAACCGCTGCAAGGTGCTGACGGTAAACCATGTGGTGGAGGTGCTCTGCCGGTATGCCGAAAGCGGGGACTGGCGGACTGCATTTGATGTGCTTCCAACCCGTCGTGCTAATGAAACGCGACTAAAACGCTCTCGTGTCTCGTGTGGAGCGAGCAGTGCGTCTTCGGATAATGCGGTTAAAGTGGCGGGTGACGGTGGTGGTGATGGTGATGGTGGTGGTGGTGGGAAGGGGGATGATGGCTCTGATATCCATCACGACACGACGCTGCAGCAGTAGTGATTCTGAAGGTGGCCTGGTGGAGATCTCTCTAGGCTTTTTCCCGCGACCCGAGTTGTTTACCTGCTCAAATTTGATAGCTGTATACTTATGTCTCTGTGTGTATGTGCGTGTTGTTTGTTGTGTTGACTTTCCCACTTCCTTGGCGCTAGTTAGTGGTTTTTCAAAGAAGGAAAAAAAAGGTAATCACACTATCAGCCGGTGACTCGCTCACAGATACACGTATTGATATATATTATATATTTATATACACACATACAGAAAAGAGGCAGTGATAAGGATTGGTTTCGGTTCTTGAGGAATGGCTGATCAGGTTGTGGCGGGAGCAGCGGTCCATGAGGGCGCAGCGGAAAGTGCTGCCAAGACGTCGATGTGTGGAACAGGTGAAGAGAACAGTGCACCGAGGAAGTCGATGGCTAAGGCTTCCCGCGGCAGCAAGGAGGATGGACACGATCACCTCAACCGGTGTCTTGTATACTGCAGGCTGCGCCCAACAAATAAGACTGACTACAAGGATGGAAGCTTCCAGCTGGTTACAGTGGAGAATAATTCTGTTGTTGTGAAGGATGAGCGTCATTACAACTACGACGGGGCGTTTGATGAGTATAGTACACAGGAGCAAATATTCGATGCTGTTGTGGTACCGTGCGTCACTCACGCACTCGAAGGCTTTTGCTCCGCGCTGATGTGCTATGGTCAGACCGGCACCGGCAAGACGTATACCATGTGCAATAACACGCCGGGGAACGAGGGTATCATCCCGCGTGTGGCGAAGTTTCTCTTCGATAAGGTGCAGTCAGACACAACCCGCCGCTATGAGATCATTGGGCAGTTTGTGCAGATCTACCGTGATCACCTCGGTGACTTGATGACGGGCCACGGTAGGGACCGTGTGGACATCCGCTACGATGAGGAGACCGGCGTAGAACTCACTGGTTGCTCCTCTCACGTGCTGCAAAGTGCGCAGGAGTTCATGCGGTTCTACCAAACCGGCAATGAGCGCCGTGTCGTGACGGCAACCGCCATGAACCCAGAGTCCAGCCGTGGACACACGGCGCTCATTGTGCGCATCATCTCTGAGGGCGTCAATGATCCCCTGGCGAGAAAGATAAGGGGCAAGATTACGTTCATTGACTTAGCTGGGTATGAGCGATTTAGCAAGACGGGCATCACACATGAAAATCCAATCATGAAGGACGAGGCGAAGTGCATCAATGCATCACTGCTTTCCCTCAGCCATGTCGTCTCGGCTCTGTCGTCAGGCGTCCGTCACATCCCATGGCGTAATTCAAAGCTCACACGTATTTTGCAGGACTCCGTTGGTGGCAGGAGCCGCACTTCTATTATTCTCACCGTTGGGCCGAGCAGTGATCACCTCCATGCGACGACCAACTCGCTGCAATTTGGCTTGCGAGCTATGGCTGTGAAGGTTTCCGCGAAACAGTATGTATCTGTGGATTACGAAGAACTGGCTCGCAAGCTACAGTCACTGTTGAATGAGAGAGATGAGAAGATCAACCTGCTCGAGCTACAGATCGCTAGTCGGAGTGCTGAACAAAAGGAGTTAGTGGAGCGGTACGAAGAACATCGTGCAGATCTCAACAAGCGATTTGAGAGCGACATGGCACATTTAAAAGAGGTTGGGGCGTCTGAGGAACAGATGCAGAAGCTGCGCGAAGTATACCGAGCGGAGGAGGATAATCTACAGGAGCAGCAGAATGAGGAAATTCAGTATCAGGAAGAAGCACGCTCAAAGGAGATCATGAAACTCATTCATGAACAGGAACATCAGGAAGGGCGGCGCCGAGCAGAGATGAAGTTAGCACAGGAGCGAATTATTGACGAATTTCAAGGTAAACTGGACAAGGCTCGTGAAGGTACAAATGATGACCTCATCAATGCATTACAACAATTGTCTGTGAAGGACTCCATCCTGGCGAGTCGTGCTAATGACACCGCTAGGCTGCACGAGCACATTGAAGTACTCACGGAACAGATTAAGGAGTTGGGCGGCGTGCCTGTTCAGGAAGCCAATTTCCCAGAGACCTTCCTTGACGTTGGTCAGGTGGAAGAAATTCAGAGGCAGTTGGAGGCGGAGGTGGAAAGGCAGCGCTCCAAGGTGGTGGAATTGCGTGCGCAGATTGATCGGCTTTCCCTTACATGCAGCGAGCGCGTTGAGGAAATTAACAAGCTACGTGATGAGAATGTAGAGCTGCGCTTTCACCTTCAGAAGAGCGGTGTGGAGCTAGGTGAATCGGACGAATTGACAGAGTTCCTCCGTGAGAAGCGCGCCATGATGGTTGACGGCACCAAGATGGAGACACTTCGTGTGACAATGCAGGCTGACTTGGATGAGCTGAAGGCGCGCAACGAGGAGCTGGTTCGGGAGTTAGAACGCCTCAAGACGGAACGTTCGCAGCATTCCTTGCCACTCACCGCACGCATTCGGGGCACGGCGCGTGGCGTCCCTCCTCTCTACCCGCAGCCTGGCACAGGGCGTTGTGTGGGCGCGTCCCGGCACTTTTTTCTCACTGGCGAAGATTTGAGGTCGTCATCGTACTCGTCACAGAGCGACACCGCACAGAAAAGTGTCAAACAGCTATCCGACCAGTTGGCCTTCAGCCTGCAGGAGAAAACTGCTCTGCAGGAGCGTGTGCGGTCGCTAGAGTCAATGATGGCGTCGCACGGGCTGGCGGCGCCGCAGCCGTACGTGCCGCCAATCAAGTTGGAACTACCCGGCATGGTGCCGGCTATGTCCAACGACCACAAAGCTGAGGTGTCGCCAGACACCGACGTTGGTGTGCTGCTAAAGGTGAAAGACGACGAGATTGAGACACTTCTGGAGACAATTGAGAGGCAGGAGTACTTGTTGGCGACCGCAAGGTCTAATGATGAGTTTCATCAACAGGTGATTAGTGAACTTCATCAAGTGATTTCGGCAGCAGAACTGGTTCCGCCGGAGCACAGGAGCGCCCCCCCGCCGGTGGAATCCATTGCAATGGATGAGTACATGAATATACTACGAGTAGTGCGTGACGGGGAACGGAAGGTGGCTTCTCTCTTGGCGGAGCGTGATGGCAACGACCCAGTAGATGTAGAGTTGATCCTTGAGGAGAAAGACAAGGAACTCCAGCTCAAGGAAGAGTTGGTCATTGAGAAGGCCTCCAAGGCACAGTATGTGGCAAGACTGTGTATCCGTCTCAAGAATCAGATGGAACGTCTGGACATCGTTCCATGTTGCCAGCTCCCAGAATCGTACCGTGAGTTGATTGGGCGTGAAGAATGCGAGCTGGAGGATCAGATCGAGTCGCAGCGTGATTTGGAAGGACGGCTGCACGCCCAGGAGATGGATAGACTGCGCATGGAAAAGATGCTTCGCACTTTGAACGAAGAGCGTGAAAGGGAAGCCGTCGTTATCCGTTCAGCAAACGCGCGGTGCAAGGAGGCGGAGCAGAAAGAAATGTATGCTAGGGCCGAGCTGGTGCGACTGTCACAGCAGAAAAGCCAGAAGGAGGTGACGCTTGAGGATGCATTACGCAAGGCTACACGGGAGCTCATGGACAATCAGGCCAGGCTGGCAAAATTGGATGAAATAGAAAAGGGCGGATTCCTCAAGTTGCTCTTTCGATTCCACAGATCTTAGCCCCCCCGGGTCACCCTTCTCTTTCACGCACCATCTGTGCTTCTGCTTGCTTTCGTGTTTTTTTTTTTAGCGCCCTGCTTCGAATTTTCATGCGTAGAAGTCCTTAACTTTTGTCTGAATTTTTTTGCGTACGTGTTGCTCTTCGGGGGGCCCTTTCTGCGCCACTCTGTGATGCCCGAAGACACATGATGTTCTCCCTTCAGCTTTCCCTCTCTGGATAAAGCGTCCGCTCCGCTAGGGAAGCATGGATTTTGATGGTTCCCTTCTCGCACAACCATGCGGCGCTCATCCTTTCCCTTCCACTTTTTTTTGTTATTAAAAAGCCTTTGCAGCTCTGGACTGTGGTTCTGGGAATAGCCCACTTTATTCTGCTCCCAAGTTCTTCTTTTGTGCTCTTTTTGCACCCTTCGTGGTCTGCTGCAATAACTTTGTCTCGTCTAACGGCGTTACGCTTGCGTTGTGCTCTTCTTCCTCTCTTCTTGTGGGTGGTGGCAGACCAAGTATCCTCTTGTTTTGTACAGAGGTGTGTGAGGGAAAAGGGAAAATAGTATTCTTGTTATTGTTTTAGAGGAGAGAAAAAAAAAAAGCGAGGGCGCCCCACAATGACCGGAGCACGCTGCTGCCGCAGTGCTCAATCCATTTTGGTGATCATTCTTCTTATTCTGACCGATGTGTGGGGTGCGGCGGTGTGGTTTAAAGGCAGCGTATACAAAGGCATCGTTGAGAAGACACTGCACGACGGTGGTGCAACATTCCAGCTTCGTGCAGCCTTTCCTATTTTCGAGGGCTACAATGACACGCGTCTGAAAGGACTCTTTTTAGAAACTTTGGCTGAGAGCCAAGTTCTGGTGAGGGAAACAGGCCTGTTTCAGACCGAGCCGAACAACTCATGGCAGAGGAATCTCCCGCATCTTATCGAGCAGAGCCACGCAGAGGTGCTCGAGAATGGCAGGTCCGCGCGTCTGACTTTTGGCCCCGCCGAGGTGTCTTTCGAGGAAGAGTTGTTGATTGTATTGCCATGTTTGCCTCTCAATGTTTTCCAGGATTCCGCAGCCAAAAACAAGGGTGAAAATTCAAGGAGTTGCCTAACAGGAAATGCGATTGTTATTACACCCACACCAATGGTTCAAATGGATGTTGTTAGGCTTGAGAAGGAAGCTCCACCGCACTACATTGCAGGGAATGTTATTAAGATTCCTTTTATTGAAGGTGACAATAGTGGTCTGGGGTCGAAGCTGAAAGTGATGGAAGGCTATACGTGCTCCAACACTCGCAGCGCGATGACACGCGGGGATATGTGGGACGGCGTTACCCACTCATACCGCTTCGTGGCGCTACGTGGCGGCATTGCGACCCTCTGCTACGCACCGTTTCCAGACACATTCCCACTAATGATGGTGAAGGTAGGAGAATCACTGAACATCGCTGGCCCTGAGGGCGTTTCAACGGAGCCACCGCAAATTAGGTCTGGTATGGAGTTCACAGGTACCGTTTACGGTACAAATCTTACGGAACGTGACGTGCTGATTCTCTCAGAGCAGCTGTGTAACGAGTTCACTTCATCCCGTAACACTCTACCGGAGCTTTCTTTATCTAGCAGTACTCGTGCTCTCTTTTCTGGTGTCTTAGAACACGGAGGTATATACCACCTCTGCTACCTCCGCGATGGTTCTGAAATGTACCTTGAGGTTACAACGCTACTGGTTGAAGCGGGCGGCGATGCTGTCATTGAGGGGAACTTGGAGAATGTTCTGGTGGATAAGGTGACTCAACTTCTTCAGCCCGCTACTATTAGTTCCTTGCAGGTAAAGCACTTGGGAAGGCTGGTATTGAAGCAGGAGTCTCTTAATGTCTCGGCCTTTGTTTGGTCAGGCGGCACTATTGTGGGGCATGGTGATATCAACTGCATGGGAGTTGCCACTATTACATCGCATGGCCATGAACCTCGCACATTGTCGGTCCTCTTACGTAACTACGGCGAAATGGTAATCGATGTGCATCAGATTAACTTGGAAGGTGATGGTGCTATACACAACTACGGAAATCTTACCATTACTGTCGCCTCCATGGGGAACGAAGGGGTCAGTAGTATTCGCTCTTGCAGCCGCAATAATGTCATCATCAACCGAGGCGGTGTTATTCGCATAGCCACCATAGACAAACAACATTCTATGTTGTGCCAAACGCGCATCATCAATACAGAGGGGACGCTTATTCTATCAGGAAAGTTGAATTTTACAGACTTAACAAATGGAGAAAAAGCTCAACTGATTGTCCCTAAGGGAGCCAGTGTGGCTGTTTCAGATGCGCGGTTTAGGGGTGGCATCACGCTTGCAGAAAACTCTGAAATAATGCTGACGGATGACTGCGTATTTGTATCAACTATTGTGAAGGGAAATAAGTGTCGCATTACTATCACAGGTGATTCGATACTCCTCGATTCCCTCACGGTTGTAGGCGATGTTAGAACAGATATTCTTGGAAGGCAACCAGATAGCACAAGCAGTGTCGTTGCAACATACGGTACCACCCGATTTGGAGAGGGGACATGCGTCACCATTAAGAACGCCCGATTTGTTACTAGTGCGGGCTTGGCGAAACTCCACATTGACGGTGTACTGATTTCAGAATTTGACACGGTGGATATCAGCGGCAATACATTGATTCAGGCTGGTAATGTCACGATATTCTACGGAAAGAGTAGTGAATATATTTTACCCAGAAAAGAGAGCAATTCATTAGTATCGTTTGTTGTCCCACATGGTGCATCACTCGTGGCTATGGACACAGCAAATTACGAAACTCCTACCTCAGAATGCAATTCGGCCTTCATGTTTTCGGATTCCATCGTAGTTGAGGGTCGCATGTTGCTCCAGGGCTGTTTGGCAATACCCTTTGGTGGTTCAATCAGAGGGTCAGTAGGACGGCTGGAGCAGCAGGATGACATATCGATGGTATTCTCTCATCTCAATGCTGCAGGCATCCATATCCCCATAAGCAGGCAGCAGCCTCGTCCGGCGAGTGCAATCCTAGGGGGAGAAATGCATCTCCATAGTGGTGCCCAGCTGTTTATGGACGAAATCTCGATGAGGAATGCTGTACTCACGGGCCATGGTGTGGTTCAAATAGAGGCCCGGACCCGTGTAATGGTGGATCGCGGCTCGCGTCTCTCTCTACAGCCTGGATGGGTACTGAATGCCTCCCTGACGCATGTAGAGGGGGTGCTGGAAGCAGACACACAACCCAGTCCTTTGATCTACGGTCATCTTGAGATTGCCAGCGGCAGTGAAGTTAAGCTTTACTCTTCACCTGTTTACCCATGTTTACCTGCGCTGGACGTTGTCGGCGAAATCCTGTGGGGAAGTGAGTCTCACATCGAATGCATTGCTCGCCCTCTGACGGTGGTGCCGGAGTCACACCTCAATGCGCATGAGCTTGAGGTGATGACGACGATGCGGCGAATGACAGCTGCCCTCCCACAAGACTTGGAGTGCCCAGAATCACTTTTACGTGAAGAGGCAATGATGCACATCATGTTCCAGCAGTTTTTGGGATACACACCCTACGATCCTCCTCCGAATGTGCCAACAGCGCAGAGTATGTTTATTGCAGGAGTGGGGTGCATGCTTCTCGGGGCTCTGACTCTTTTCCTTTTTTTGAGAGCATGGGGAATGACTTTACAGGATTGGTGCGTGGACATTGTGAGAGAGCCACCCCTACGGCTTGATTTGACGCAGGCAGAGTTCACAGCGCATTGGGTAAACTATTGGGTGCTTGCTTCATTGGTCTTCGCCGGGGCGCAGTTGTCTTTTTCCTCTTTCCACCCAAAACTGCCGCTACCCATTGGCTTCATGTCAGCTATGTGCCTACGCAGTGTGCACCTCCTAATGCCGCATCACGGTGTGAGATCTGAGTTTCAGGTGCGCCTCGCCTCGGCTGGAGCCATTATCTGGGGTTTTATTGCGGTGCCGGTGCTTGTTTTTTCGCTGCAAAAAACGTCCGCAAAGGTGGGTGGGAGAAAGTTTCTGACGCTAATACAATTGCTCTCTAAACTCCACTACTACTTTCAACTGTTGACGCTCACTTTCGCCGTCCCGATCAAATCGTTGGTCCTTGATTATTTTGCTTGCAATACGTTTCTAAAGGATCTACCTACCTGTGAAACTTGTTCGAGCAGTGTGGCTGTACCGTTCGCTATTGCCCTCTTCCTCAGCTTCACACTTCCGTGGGGTGGTCCCTCGGAGACAAGACAGTCGGTGTGTGATTTGAATTTTAAAGTCTCATCGCTCTTCGCACTCCGCGCAGGGATGCTGATAGAAATTGGTATGTGGAAAGTATTCTACCAGAGCCCGGTGTTGTTGCTAATTAGCAACTTGCTATTTCAATCAGCTCGGGTGATTTTTTACTCATATACGACACCCACACCTTACAGAAATATCAACAGAGTTGTGATCCACACGTCTTTGGCGCCGTTAATAATAACGATTGCTACGCTCCTCCATGTTGCCCGTGTTCATTTAGGATTGGTGCGCACTTGTCAGGATGGGGAAACATATTTCAAAATTGTTTTCGGTCTCGTAGCCCTGATGGTAATTGCAAGTGTTTGGTACAACGTGTTTTCGGTGAACGTGGCGAACGCTGCCACAAATGATCCTGCAATTGATGCGTTCAATCAATCTCTCGAGCGAATACGAAGCCGCATTCAAAACCTGAGGTACGAACTTATGGCATCTGCATCAATGGAAGAACGGGAAAGTGTGCTAAGAGATACCACCCTTTTACACAGTGAAGTTATGGAGAAGCAGGAACAATGCCGTTTCGAGAAGAACCGTTACCTGGCCAACTTCTACTGCTCTAAGGGCCTTTCAGACCGAGTCGTAGAAGAGTTAAATGACGGCAAGTCATTGAACGATACGAATTTGCCTTCAGACATGGAGACATTCCTGGGATCGCCAGATTCATCACCACATATCTCAGATTATGACACGGACAATGCTCGATCTCCTCTGACGCAAGAGGAAATGGAGACCTTTCGCTGTGGTCCCGCACTAGGGTCGGGAAGCTACGGTTCAGTGTATTTAGGTATCTTGCAGTGTGGAAGGCTTGTTGCAGTAAAGTATGTAAACGCCCAGAACTCTAACAGCGAAGCCTTTGCGCAAGTACAAGTGGAAATGAATACGCTGAAGGAACTTTCTCATCCGAACATCATTTGCTATTATGGATGTTCTACAGCTGATGATCACGTTATGCTATTTATGGAGTTTGCAGTGGCAGGGAGTCTAACCTCCATTGTGAGAAATTTTGATGGTTTGAATGAGTCTATGATTTGCCTATATACATACCAGATACTCCTCGGACTCCGTTATCTGCATGAGAAGGGTGTGGTTCATCGGGATATCAAGGGAGAAAATATCCTGGTGGACGGTTTTGGTGTGGCGAAACTGGCTGACTTTGGATGCAGCAAGGTATTGGCTGGTATTTCAGGCCACAGCAACGCTGGATGCGAATCACTTACTGGCTCTCCGTTTTGGATGGCACCAGAGGTGATTCGCAATGAGCCGTACGGAACGAAGGCTGACATATGGTCTGTCGGTTGCACAGTTGTGGAGATGCTCAAAGGGGGAAATCCCCCGTGGCGCGATGAGTTTGACAACGTGTACTCTGCCATGTACTACGTTGGTTCAACAGATAGCATTCCTGTCATTCCGGAGGGTGCTTCAGACATGTGTCTCGACTTCCTAAAGCAGTGCTTTCAGCGGGATGCGACTAAACGGCCATCAGCGGATGAGCTCCTGAAGCATCTCTGGCTTCGCAGTGTAGAGACGACGAGTCCGCAGCCCCAAGTCGTTCCAGGAAAGTATTTGCGGTGAGTCGATGGCGTACGGTCTACGCCGCCTACCACAGGGGGGGGGATGAACACGGCAGGCCTTATGCAACCCCGCCAAAGCAAAAGAGAGAGAGGTGTGTGGTGAATGCCTCTCTGAGGGGCCCCGCCCCGTATATTTGTTTTGTGGACTGAATGCTGTTAGTTATAAGTGAACAAAAGGGAAAAGAAGGAGACGACCGTAGAAGAATTGGCCCACCACGTTGACCTGGTGTATTAGGTGCTCGGCATGCAGCCAAGAGCATGTCTGTAAAATAAAATAAAAAATGTGTGCAAAGTGGAGAAGGCAAAGAGGAGGAGGGGCCGAAGCTTATCGCTGCCCTCGCCTCAAAACGATTTTGTCATTTTTTTCTCGCTTTATTTTTGACCCACCCTTCCAATGACAATTTTGTGGGCGTGAAACTCAACGAGCGTCGGCTGTGCATTCCTTCTCATCGCCCCCGTCTGCGTATTTCCCGCCTTTTTCATTATCCCACCATTTGCGCTCCTCTCCACTCGGTATCATCATCAAGAGCAGGGACGAAAGGAGGGAAAAAAGTAAGACATCTTAATTGGTCATTTTTTAACAAAAAGAAATTCTTCTGTCGTCTTTTCTTTGCTGTTTTTCTTCTTTTTTTGGGGTTCGTACACCAATATGAATGGTGATGGAGGGCCGCAAATAAACGGGGTCACTCGAGTCAGCTATCTGGCGCGATTGGCCACGTGTGCCAGGTAAGGCAAAGGAGAGGAGGGCTAAGACAAAAGGAGAATGGAATGTGAGTTCATGTGTGATGATGGCATCTCCCGGAGGCTTGACATCGCAGCTGGAGCAACCGCGCCATTCAACTGCGTTTATCAAAATAGACTGCGAACACCCAAAGGGGACGGAGCCGTTCTCGGTGAGTGTGCGGGCAGTTTGTACGTTCTCCTCGACTCCAACGCCGCGTCGCTGGTGGCGACACCGTTCACAAAAGATGATTTTGACGCGGGACTGTTGGAGCTGCTTCCTGATGCCCATGTCGTTGTCGATCCTCTTGACTCCCACCGGGTGAAACGAGATGTGTTCTGCGGGCGAAGTGTTGGCATCGTGACGCAGGACCAGAATGGCCCATGCCCGCTGCTAGCCCTGGCGAATGCTCTGGCACTGCAGGGGAAGGTGGATCTGTGCCCTGACGGCTGCCGGCGGGTTGAGGCGCAGCAGCTGCGGCGCATCATTCTTGAGTACATCACGCAGAATGAGCCTCCTGTCCCGCGCTTTGAATGTCCCGCAACACGTATTGTGGATAGCGCGGAGGTCAAGACGATAGCGGGACTTGTGCAAGAGCGTCTGGTGGAAGCGCGAGCATCTTTGGCTGAAGGCGTTGCTGGCGAGGAATTTCTATATCGACTGTACCAAGGGCTGAACATTAGCCCCATATTTTCTTTCATGGACGGATTTGACGCGGAGGACGATGTTCTACTCTTCGCCCTTGCGGGATTGCGTGTTGTTCACGGTTGGCTGATTCCACCAGATAGTAGGTATGCCGCACTACGTGGCATGTCCTTTAACGAGGTGAGTCTCTTTGCGACGAATAAGGATAGTGAGTTGACGGCGTTGGCCAACGACTTCCTTGAGAACACTAGGTCGCAGTTGACAGTGGAAGGGTTAGATATGCTTCGGGCAGAGCTGTCCGAGGGTGAGATTGTCGTCCTATTTTGGAACAATCACTTCTCAACAGCAGTGAAGCTTGGCGGAAGGCTTCTGCTGTTGCTATCAGATGAGACCTACGCAGATAGGTCCTCTATACTTTTTGAGGCCATTGAGGACGTCCACGGTGGCTCAACCTTCACAGACGGAAGCGGCGTCAACACCGACACATTTCTTCTTGCGGTTCAATTCCTGACAGGGAACGAGTTCACTCCAGAAGCCGTCGCTGCCGCGAAGTCCAGCCTAGAAGAGCAGGACAGCGAAAAACCACTTCCAGAAACGGTCGTGTCTTACCTGCGTGGCCAAAACCGCAAGGAGGAGAGCATTGATTCCTATGAAAAGGAATCTACTTGGCCGTTATGGGTCCGCGAGAATGCGGATACACTTATGGGAATGGGGTTCAACATTGAATACACTGAGGCGTGTGAGCTTCTGCAAAAATGTGGGAGTGTAAGTGCAGCTGTGGGTGAGTTGTGTCAAGAGCCGCCGAACTCGTAGATAAAGAAAGTGGTTGTGTGTAAGGCAGATCGGTGTTTTTACTCCGATACGAATATACATGTATATTTGAGTACCTCTCTTTGTGTGCAGGCATATAGCCCCATTTCTTTTGAATGTGGTGAGCTCTGCTTGTTTAGGGAAGCCTTTTGACGCGAACACAGCTTTATTGGATTCGCTGTCCTCTGTTACTTTTTTTGTGTTGTTGTTGCCGTTTCCTCTCCTGTCGTTGTACGTTCCTGTTGGTATGTTAAGAAACCATATTCTAGTGTAGTGAAGACCTTTCTTGTTGTTGTTATTATTGTTTCCTCCTTTCTTTGCATATGGGACTCTACTGCTGCTATAGAATAGTGTCGCGATGAGCTTCGAGCTGCCAGAGATTTACGTTAACCCGCCCCTGACGTGGGGCCCGCCGCAAAAGGAGATGGAGACAGACGGCCTGGCGGTGCAGCTGTACCAGAAGGCCGACGCCATTGCGCCGAGCAACTGGCTGGACGTCATGGCGGAGCGCGAGGAGCGGGCGAAGGAGGCAAGGCAGTTCACTACCGTCAAGGATGAGAACCGCCTCAAGGCTCTGCACAACGTGCACGCAAAGGAGCGTCGCCACGGCCCAGAGCGGCGCTTCGTCAAGCGGTACTTCAACAACCGCGGCAACTTCCCGAACAAGGTGAAGCGCAACCTCACGCTCCTGCCAGACACCGTCAATGTTCCGACGGATGTCCGCATCCTCGCGGAGTTCACGCAGGCGGAACTTTCGAAGATGCAGAACCTGCAGGACATGCCGACGGTGGCGGATATCTCGCTTCACAACCGGCCGCCGCTCTACAACAACAATGTGGAAAAGGCAAGTTGCAAGGCTCCAGTCCGCCTCGATGAGGAGAGCGCGGCACGCCAGGAATTTATGCGATCGAACACTGTGAAGGACGAGACGCTGCGCGAGATCCTCAAGAAGGAGGCGGCGGGAACGCACCCCATCGTTGTAACAACCGATGAGGTACTTGCCCTCATGATGACGTGCAACCGTAGTGTGCACCCGTGGCACCTTGAGTTCTTCCGCTTCGGTCGCATGGTATTTATCTCCAAGACGGAGGAGAGCAACATCGAGATGCAGTGGGTGGGCGAGACCGCCGACGCGTCGCGCCGCCCAACAGAAAACGATCCCATCGAGACGGAGCGCATCACTTCACTCGGCGTGGAGTCCACCAAGGTAAGCAACGCCTTTGTGGCGCAGTCGTGCTCCAAGACGCGGTACCAGATGAAGTGCGAGAAGAACCCGTTCCCGCAAACGCAGCCACGCCTGTACCGCTACCGCCGCTACAGTATGCATGGCGACTCCGAGGACCGCTACGATTTGATTGTCCGCTGTGAGGTGGACGCAGTACAAGACGACAAGTACCTTCGCATTTTTGGCCTTCTGGAGCAGTGCTCGGAAGGAGTGAACAGCGAGTGGCGTAAGACATTAGACTCTCAGGCCGCAAAGTGGACGTCAGACGAGTACCGGCGAAATTCGCAGAAGATGGCGCGCTGGGTCTCCCTCTGTCATTTATCAGGGGCCTTGATGAAGATTGGATTCTTGTCACGCTGCCGCAGAAGCAACGGCACACTTGACCCGACGAAGCACGAGGTGCTGGCTGTGCACACGAAGGACCCTGGACCGCTCGCCGCGCAGCTCGGCATCAGGGTCACGAACATGTGGGCCATCGCCGACAACATCATCATGGCGTTCTTGAAGCAGAAGGAGTTCAAGGATGCGATACTTGTAAAGAAGAGTGGTGAACAATCAATCCTGTTGATTGAAAACATGGAAGAAGACGAGGACGACGATGATGATGATGACGACGAGGATGAGAGCGAAGATGAGGACGAGGACGATGAGTGACGGTGTCCTGGTGGTTCAAGAGAAACTTAAGTGACAGCAGACAGGATGAAAAACAAAACAAAAAAAAAGACGATGAAAAAGAGACATAAAATATTAATCGGCACCTAAGACAAGCCTAAGGTTTTTGTGCGCCGGGCGTTTTCGCTGTTACTGTTGTTGTTGCCGCCATAGGTTTTGCTGGGGGGCTGTGTATATATTTGTCTCTGTGTGTGTGAGTGTGCGTTTTTCGTCTTTTCTCTTCTGCTATTGATGCTGGTGGCGGTTTTAGTGGAGAAGATGAATTTTGAGCTACTCAGAGAGGGTAGAGAGGACCCTCTCTACCCACTCAGCATTATGGAATTGGCCGTCTTTACAGGTATCACTGCCGGCAGTGGGGAATGCTTTGCTTCCAATCCACTACAAGATTCATGCACATCCTCACGAAGACAGGAACGTCGCAGGAGCAGCGACAGGCCTGTGCATTGATGGACATGCTGTGGCTCGAGCACTGAAGAACTGGCCACCTTGCTGATGTTGAATATATCAGCCATAACCAGCCCTACTTGTTCTCCTCGAGCACTAATTTTTTATCAGATCACAGCACTCATTCGTCTACATCACTGCTGTGCTGTTCATCAGCGTTACCATTCCTTTCTTGGTGTTAGCTTGATGATAGTTACTCATTTCCTCCTCCTTCGTCCCGGTTATCTGGGCGGTGGTATTTGGCCATGTCGCTGGTGAGCTGCCCGGTGTGGAGGCTGCTGGTTGCTATATTGGGGGTCAGAGAAAAGTTGCTGCAGTGCGACGAGCTGGCAGCTCTGTTGATGGTGCTGCAAGAAGAGCATTCGCATCTGCGGGAGTCGGAGGTGGACGTGCCCAGAGGTGCGCTATGTCTGTCAAGCCACCGGGTGCATGATTGCCTCATGACGACATGTAACAAGACATTCATGTTGTACTCTCAAGCCCTGCTGCATGGGGAGACAGCTCGAACGGGCCTGCTTAATGATTACAATCGCGTACCTGAACAACAGCCCGACGCCGCATCCTCGGCACCCTCGCCACTGCAGAAACTGGCGAAGCAGGGCTTCATAAACCCCATGAAACCGCTACGCGCTTGTGTGTATCCGCTTTGGGAGGTGATGTCTCTGTCAGTGAGTACCGTGCTGTACAACTCGTATCTGGCCTTCTAGGCAAAGAAATTCAACATGGTGGTGTGGCATGACAATCGCGGGGTGATGATGGGTCTGTGGACCCTCACCGACCTCCTCGGCACGTTGTACAGTACCACCCCTTCCGACGCGGAGATAAGTATCCGGCAGGAACCGATGACATGCTTCTTTGGGAGGGCTGTGTGTAAAGGTATTTAGCGCCTCGAAGCGTAATATAAAGCTCTCAGTTACCACCGCTTCGGCCGAAGAGGCCATGTGAATAGGTCATATTCTTCTGTGTACATACACATCCTCTCTCCTGATGCAAAAGTTTGGTTTGAACGAGAAGGGAAAAAAGTTCATTTGCGTCCGTTTGTATGTATGTGTTTTTTTTTTT